GCCGGGTCAGCTGACCCCAGCTGACATGTACAGAGTTACAGAGTTAAGACTTTCTGGAACCAAAGACCGACTCGCACCGGACGCCTTCTCTGAGGACTCACACAAACTGTGGGTTATGTGTGGCCGGACTAAGTGACCCCACCAGATGACCTAGAAAGTGACCCCTCTCACCGGGCCGAGTGAATAAAACAGACACAAAAGGGCACTTTGGCTCTGAGCCTGATCCCAGACAAAGACCCCCTTCTTGGATTGCCTCTCCTCTAAACGTTCCTATGAGTGGAGCCAGATTCAGAAGCCTGGCCCACGTGCGCTGTGGTCATCCCTGCAACACCTCTGGAGAGCCAGAAAAATAAACCAATAGCCCTTGTTTCTGTGTGAACGCCATCTGTCATCCACACGTGCACGGATGCTAGCGCACGGAGCTGCTGGGGCTGACACCGTAACAGAGCTGCTTCCCACGTGTGAGCCTTAACTCTTCGTTGGTAAACCACAAGCCTCAGCAGAAGACTGACCGGCTCCGGGTCCATCCTGAGGTGGACGGACGGGGATGGGGTTCAGGCTAACCAGCAGCTATGCTGCATGCTCACAAACAGTGCACGAGCTCCACGAGAGGAGCCCAGTAAGGAAGGAAAGGAGCGGGCAGTGCATCTGGATTCTGCTGTCCTCCCTGGACCTCTGGGGTCAAGCCAGAGGAGAAAAACCCTTGCCACAGAAGTGCGAGGACAGGTGATAACCGCGCTTCCAAAAGGCCAGAGGTCTTCTTTTCAGGCGAGTTCAGCAGGAATATCGACAACGGCTGCCAGCTTTTTGACCCAGAGTCAAAAGAGGCCGAATTAATTTAGATCTTTTTCTAAGAATCTCCAATGAAACGTCAGCTCTGAAGCTCTTAAGACTGGAGTGACCATTTAGTCCAGTTGGAGCTCAAAGCCCGGTCAGCCAGTTCTAAACCTACTTTCATCATCGGCTGTTCAGACACGTTACCAACCAGCCTCTGACTGGGAGGAGAGAAGCTGAGGTCCTCCAGCATTAAGGTAACAGAGCCATCCCTGAACTGATGTTATAAGCTGCTAACATTCCATCTGAGCTGGAATTATCTGTGATGTTAGCAGCACAATTCCCCCCAGAATTCCCTTTTTCTGCAGGTTAGAAAACGTGTGGTCATCCAGCATCAGGTCCCAAAACATGGGAGTCACATTTGAACACACTAGGGGGGCAAAGGAAACGGTTCATTAGCACGTTACGTCATAAAAGACAGGAGTAAAAGCCAAACACTGACTGTCAAACACCAAGACGCCTTTTCCCCAAAACGACTCGCGCATTAATTAACCCCCCCCCGG